AAAAAAAAAAAAAAAAAAAAAGAAGCCACTTTACCTTCTATGGGATTATTCATACTTCGAGCTGTATTAAGCCATGTTTTAATGAACGCCAACTCATGCTCTAGCCTGTTGAGAGCTTTCTGGATTCTCCTTTGTCTGTAATGAAATTTGCCTCATCTTCATATCACTTTGATAAACATACCTCGGTCTTCCACCCAAGTAACCAAAATTTATGTGAGACATAGCTAAAAACCAAATCTCAAACCACAAATACTTGAAATGTAAGGTAACTTAAATTCATAGATGTGAATTGTTTTGGTGACTCATACGTAGATCTGCATTATACATGCTGAGTATCCCGAACCCAAATGTTCCAAAATCCAAAACTTCTTAAGTGCTGACATGATGTTGAAAGGAAACCCTCCTTGGAGCAGTCTGGATTTCAGATTTCCAGATTAGGGTTGCTCAACTGTAATGAAGATATTCCAACATCCCCCCAAATTGAAATTCGATACACTTCTAGTTCCAAGCATCTCAGGTGAGGCATACGCAGCCTGCGGCAGCCATCGTTAACAGGTACTGTCATTATCGATGCCTTTCAAAATGACTAGATAGTAAATAAGTCTAGTGACCATGATGAAAAAATAAAGAGTCTTATTCACCTGCAAAGTACAAGAATTTTAAATAATGATTTTTTTTCCCAAAAAGTAACAGATATATATATATATTTTTTAATTTCAGAAAGGATTTACACCAGCAGCCCCAGTTCATACCAGTAAAGAAGATCCGGCTACCCAAACTAATTTGGGGTTTATCCATGCATTTGTCGCTGCCATCTCAGTTATCATTGTATCTGAACTGGGTGATAAGACATTTTTTATAGCAGCCATCATGGCCATGCGCTATAACCGTCTGACCGTGCTGGCGGGAGCAATGCTCGCCCTGGGCCTGATGACGTGCTTATCAGGTGAGTGCATGCTGCCTTCCAGGCTTGACTTGTTGAATGGTTCACTTAGTTGTATTGGACGTTGGTTTCTGTTCCAGATTTTAGCAAACAGCAAATGGTTTCAGTGCACAAATTCCTAAAAACCATGTTGCACATTTTAAATCAAATTTTTAGCTATTCACAATCAAGATATATACTCATTTATTCACTGGAGTTTACCTTTTTTTTCTTTTCAGTCAGGTAACATTTATATTTGATATAAATGGAACCACAGAGAATTGCATATTTTTCTGTTAAAGGACATTTGGGAGGTAATTAATAACTTAGATGCAATTTTCAGTTTATTTTAAACTGTTCTTACCCATATGGTAAAGAGTGTTAGGATTACAGGCGTGAGCCACTGCACCTGGCTCTAGTTTTTCTATTTTTCGTTAGAGGCAGGGTCTTGTTCTTGCTCAGGCTGGTCTTGAACACCTGAGCTCCAGCAATCTACCCACAGTGGGGCCTCCCAGAGTGCTGGGATTATAGGTGTGAGCCACTGCTCCTGGCCCCTGTAATATTTTTCATCTTATTATATATTTTCATGTATTTTCCTCATACAGTTTTACCCTGATGATTATAAATTTTTGCTTCAAAGTCTTTTACGGATTACCCCATCAAATTTATTTACAGTAAAAATATGCAAATAGTATAATTGAATTTTGAGATTTTGAAAATTTCCTTGGTTAAGTCTCTAAGTGTTAACACTATGGATTGAGTTATAGTTATTATCAGTACACAATTGATCAAAGCAAATATATAAAAAATTTAAATATTTAAACTTTTTAAAATTGCAAATATATCTCTTAATGAGATGATAGGGCTGTTCTTTTTAAATTAGTTTATATGCCCGTGTGTGAATACTAATTACTGATAGAATGAATTAGGGTTTACATAAACACTGAATTTTTTTTTTTTTTTAAGCAGATGTAAGGGGGATGTATTCACTGGCCAGAAAAAGAAAAATGGATGTGACAGCCAAGAAATTTTTGTTATAATCATGTCACTGAGTTCAGTAGAAATCGCATACGGGTCTGTCATCAAGAATGACTTTTATGACTTACCATCTGACAGTTCAATAAGTCTTCTGTCAATTTTCTTGAAAGCAGAAAGTTAGAAACCATGTTTTTCTAAAATTTATCAAATGAATATTCTTATATATGTTGCTTTTACTTAGAATTAGAAGTACCTTGTTTAAATTATTTAGAAATGATTGAGAAAATTGAAATATTGTTAATTTCAAATTGTTTATTTGGCAATGAAGTATTTCAGTGTCGGAGGAGAGGTTTCCAAAGCAATAGTAATAACCAAACAAAGAGAAAACAAAGTTGCATTGTCAGAGGAAACTTTGTAGAGTTGTCAAAGCAGAAAAGGTAGGATTATAAGTTTCACTAAATAACATTTTTTAAAGATTGTCTGAAGATAAAGAGAAAACTAAATTATAGGAGATTTAAAAATACTACTTTTTTTTTTTTTTTTTTTTTTTTTTTTGAGACAGAGTCTCACTTTGTCACCCTGGGTAGAGTGACACAGTTCACAGCAACCTCCAACTCCTGGGCTTAGGCAATTCTCTTGGCCTCAGCCTCCTGAGTAGCTAGGACTATAGGTGCCCGCCACAACAGCTATTTTTTTGTTGCAGTTTGGCCAGGGCTGGGTTCAAACCGACCACCCTCGGTATATGGGCCTGGCACCCAACCTACTGAGTCAAAGGCGCTGCCCTTCATTTTTACATTTTAAAAATATTTTATGGAAATAATTTTTAAATTTACAAAGCTATCCAAATAAAATAAGGAATACCTATGAACATTTGTCCAGATTCAGCTTTGTTAATATTTTACCCCATTTGATTTGGCATTTGTGTTTGAAAGTGTAAATACAACACACATCATTTAATTATCTCTAGGCATATCTTGTCTACACATAATTTATATATCCGTGGGTTATAGATATATGTGTACAAATACATACACATTGAGATTTTATCAACCATATTTTAATTTTGTTAATTTACCTAATATCCTGTTTTTCCCTTCTAGTACAGGATCCAATCTAGATCAGATTTCATTATTATTATTTTTTAAATTTCAGGTTAATGTGAGGGTATAACTAGGTTATAGTATTTGGCTGTGTTAAGTAGAGACCCTCTTGTAGTTGTGTCCCCGCACCCTTGTGTCCATTAAGTGGGAATGTACTGACCCCCTCCCACCTTCCCCTCTTCCCCTTCCAACATTCCCCCTCCCCCCAACTTGAATTGAAATGAGTTTTTCTCCTATGTGGGTGTGTATTAGATCACTTACTGACTTCATATTAGTATTGAGTACATTGGATATTTGTTTTTCCATTCTTGTGATACTTTACTAAGAAGAATGTGTTGCAACTCCATCCGGGTTAATACAAAAGATGTAAAACCCAGGAATGGCATATGTATACCATGAAATACTATGCAGCCATAGTTACTATCTTTTTAGTCTTTTAATCTGAAGTATTTCCATAGCCGTTTAAAATGTTTTTTATGACATCAACTTTTTTTGAAGAATGCAGTGTCCTCCACCTCCCCTAGTGGACTCCTCTTCATTTTGTGTGTGAGTTTCCTCACTTTTACATTGAGGTTCTGCTTTCTTGACTAGAAAACTGCACAGAAGACACTGTGTCCCTCCAGAGCAGTGGTTCTCAACCTTCCTAATGCCATGACCCTTTAGTACAGCTCTTCATGGTTGTGGTGACCCCCAACCATAAAATTATTTTCGTTGCTACTTCATAACTGTAATTTTGCTACTGTTACAGATTGTAATGTAAATATCTGATATGCAGGATGTATTTTCATTATTACAAATTGCTTTAAATAATTAAAGCATAGTGATTAATCACAAAAACAATAATTATATATTGTGAAATATTTATTTCTAATTACAAATAAATGAAATTTTGTCTTGAAGCATGGAGTAGCATGGGTAACAGTCTTACTATAACACCAGTAAACTACATTGCTACATTTTGCGACAGTATGCTTAAAAAGGCAATGTCAGTGGGAAGGTTGAGATAACTTCTTTCTCACCAGATCAGAAATTCTCGGGGCAGTCTTTGCAAGAGCACAGCAAAGATCATCTTCCACAAGTCTACTTGTATGTTTAGGCTTGATAAGCAACAAGTTGGAAAACCCTGTTTCACAAAGATATGTTGTTGGAAGTGGAAGAAGAAGGCTCAACACAGTCCCAGACAAAACAAGATATGACTGCAAACACTTCATCCAGAATTTTGTAACTGGCATTGGAGAGAAATCAGTTCTCACTGCTTCACTGCTAATAAGTTCAGTGAACTCCTCTTGTGCTGTCTCAGGAACATCTTTAACTTTGGCTGTGATTGGGCTTCTGGCAAGTGCAAATGGGGTGTCAGGTAGATTTGGAAAGTACGATGAAATTTCGTCTGCAAGCATGTGCAAGTGTTCTTTCACAGAAACTATCATTGTAATCCTTTTGTCTGGTTCAATGTCAGGTTCCTCAAAGAAAGCAGATAAGGTAGGCAACAGTTGCAAAAACAGTCGGCTGTTTAAAGGGCTCACCTTTACAAAATTGACAGAACTTTTTTTCATTACTTCTTGTAACTTTTGTGGCAGTGTCTTTGTTGCTAATATTTGACGAGGAACCATACAGTGAGTTCCGATGACTTTTGGTGACTCATTCAGTACTAAAAGTTGAAATCCAGATCGACATCCTAGTATACCTGTGCAAACCTTTTCCCAAGAGATATGCTCTTTCAGAAATGAATCAACTGTGTCAAATACATCATGTGCAGTAGTTGTCATTTCAAGAGGTTTGTGAAAAAGAAACTCATCTTTAAAGTTGCCATCATTCATATACCTCACTCAAACCAGTAACTGAACAGTTTGCAACGTCTGTAAATTCATCAAGCTGTATACTAAATATTGGAAGTGGAGCAGATTTAATTTCCTGGATTACCTGATCAAGAATATCAGCAGACATGTCATCTATTCTTCTGTGGACAGTGTCGTTAGATGAGGAAATTGCACTCAATTTCGTAACAAATTTGCTTCCAATCATAACTCCAAGAATGTCTTTGGCTGCTGGCGACAGTAAATCCTCAGCAATGGTGTGAGGTTTCATACCTCTGGTGATTCTGAGTGCCACCAAATATGAAGCTTTAACGGCTGCTACGTTTTGTTTGTGGTACTTGCCACCAGTGTCCAGTCTGGCTTTCTTGAGTCCATCAGCTTTGCTTCTAAAATAGTTGGTGTCCGGCTTTGCGGAGCACCCGCTAACGTGGCAGGACCCGGATGGGCGCTGAGCTGAGGGGGCACCCCCGGAGGCAAGCAGTCGGGAATCCCAGGAGAGGGGGGCGGTGTCCAGGCTGCCTGCCGGCTGGGAGGGAAGTCGCACTGGGCCCCTCACAGCCCGCTGAGAGGCTGGGGATCCTCCAGGGTGGTCGCGAAGGAAGGTGGGACCGCGGGACCTGGGCCCAGGTGTCCTGGCCCAAAGGGCCAGAGCCCGCCGAAGAGGAACTGACTGGGGCGCGGGGTAGGCGGGCGGTTAGTCCTGTGGGTCTTTTCTCCCTGTCTCCGGCGAAGTCTGGCTTCCCGGAGCACAACAGGTAGGCGTGGACTCTGCCTGCCAGCGGGAGACCCGGACCCCGGACATCAGACGTGACATCAGACGTGCGGCGAAGGTCAGGAGGTCTGAGCCCGCCTCGCCCGCCCGCCGGCCGCTCCCCGGCCCGGCCCTGCAGCGCCCGCGCCCAGGCGGGAACGGGGCCGCAACCCGGCCACAGGGCTAGGTTCCTCGGAGACCAGCGCGCAGCCCCCGAGGCCAGCTACCAGAGAGGGGACACTGCCTTCTCCGCGGAGAACGATTTCCAGTCCTCTTGAGGAAAGGAAGCCTTTGCTGGGTAGCATTTGCTTAGTTGGAGGAAATGTTTCTTCTTGCTCTTCTCTGGCCATCGCGGCGTCATTTCAAGTGATTATAAAGTTTTTAGAAACTTTGTAAAAAATAAATAAATAAATAAAATAAAATAGTTGGTGTCCTTGCCGGCAAAGCTTGATGCTTGCTGTCAAAATGGCGTTTTAGTTTGTTTGGCTTGACAGATTTGACTGATAGAACTTCACAATAAATAACACATTACGGTTTCTCAATTTCTGCTGTAATTATTGAGGTAAAACCATACTGTAAGAAATCCTCACTATATTTTCTTTTTTCAACCATTATATTTTCTTAATGCTCTTCTCTACACCATCCATTGTCATGGGATGGTTAACTAATGAATATAATATATAACAATAGCTTTAATAATACAAAAGATGATCTATGGCATAGTTCAGCCAATACAGTTCATTAAAGTTTCCTAAGATTTACGATTCTGTGTTGTTTTTTTACATACCCATTACTATCACAAGGGGGCAGTAGTCACATCAACCACAGCTGAGTATAAAAAGACGGGTCAGCATCCAGATTAAGTTCCCACGGTACGGATACATTTTGCAGTAGTTGATTTTACAGTATATGATTTTACATTTACTCAGTAATTATAATTCATGAAGTATCATTTTCCCTCCAGTACTGCTGCTTTCAACACAGCACCTGCTCTCTACACGGGTATGACCGGTCTGCATAAGTACATTATGGTGCCAACCCCGTCACATACACCTCTGTTTGTACGGGGCGTATGTGATGGGGTTGGCGGGATGTGAACATTCTGGGTACTTGTATGTGTGCATATCTGCATGTGGGCAGACCCGCCTGGAGTCAGACAGAGGACCGGTGGCTCGGTTCCTAAGACCATCGGAAATATGTGTTTTCTGATAGTCTTAGACGACCCCTGTGAAAGGGTTATTTGACCCCCAAAGGGGTCGTGACCCACAGGTTGAGAACCGCTGCTCTAGAGTAACCCGTTTATCCCTCACTGATAAGCTGACTTTGCTCGCTCTGTTAGCAATTCTCTTGTATGCCGTCTTGGTCTTACAACTACTATGCAGTGTGTGGGGGACGCTCTAAGTCAGCACAGATAACATTCCTCATTATCTCCTCATAGATTATCATTACTTGATGATTCTTGGGGGATGTACTCTAAACCTTCCCCTGATGCTTGCAAAATGACTTACTGATTCTAATCCTACTTCCAGATTTACCACGAGCCCTAGGCCTTCGACTGTGAGAGCGCTCCTCTCTTCCCACTTGTTTTTCTATTTAATATTAGCATATGGTATATTGGTTCACTTAATTCCTTTTTCTCAATGGTTTATAATTAACTATTTGACTGTTTTGTTGATTAAATAAGCCTGTTAAACAGGCCAGTGGCAGCTTCTGCAAGCTGCCTCCTGTGTCCTTCTGACAAGCTCCCATTGTTTCATTCTTTCTTAACTTTCTGGAATAGCAAACCTCTCCCGCCCAGTGCTGAAATTGGCCATTTCTCTGAAAAGCCTTGAGGAGCCTTTTACTGGTGAATGGTGTTAGAACCTAACATCTGGGTGCAAGGCAGGCTCGTTGTTACTGAGATTTCTTTGCTTCTTGGCATTTTCAGTAGACAGAGCTAGAAAACATGCCTGGATCGTGTGTGTGTACACATACACATATACACATACTTGTAATTCAGATACAGATGTGCACACAAGTAGAGATAGGTTTACTACATTTCTGAAATCTAACTTTGTAATATAGGGAATAGCTTTTATATGTTTGATGTTCAGGCAGTGTTATACTTGTTTTTGGTTTTTTTTTTTTGTTTGTTTATTTTGTTTTTTGAGACCGAATCTCATTATGTCACCCTCAGTAGATTGCAGTGGCATCACAGCTCACAGCAACCTCGAACTCTTGGGCTTAAGCGATTCTCTTGCCTCAGCCTCCCAAGTAGCTGGGACTATAGGCACCTGCCCCAACACCCGGCTATTTTTTTGTTGCAGTTGTTTAGCTGGCCCAGGCCGGGTTTGAACCTGCCACCCTTGGTGTATATGGCTGGCACTGTAACCACTGTACTACGGGTGCCAAGCCATGTTATACCCATTTTATGTATTTATTTATTTTGAGACACAGTCTCATTCTGTTGCTGAGGCTAGAGTGTTGTGGCGTAAGCTTATCTCACAGCTACCTCAAAATCCTGGGCTCACTTGATCTTCAGCATCAGCCCCCGAGTTGGTGGGGCTATAAGCACCCACCGCAATGCCCAGCTAGTTTTTCTATTTTTAGTAGACACACAGGGTCTAGTTGTAGCTCAGATTGGTCTCTGATTCCTGGGTTCAAGGGATGTTTCTCCCTTGGCCTCCCTGAGTGCTCTGATTAGTTTTGAAATTTTCATTACTGAGTTAGGATTTGGGTTCTTGATGTAGCTCTAAGTATCATTTTTGATATAACTTACACTTTGTTTTCCATAGGGAAGAATGCTACTAAGTAACTCTGCATCTCTTGTAAACATTTTAACACGTAAATAAATTTTTGTTTTTTTTTTTTTTCATAAGATATACTTATTTTACATAGTTACAGAGGAGCAGAGGTTGAATCATAGGAGAGTCTGGTCATGATTCTTCAATATATTAGTTTGTGATGAAGGAGTATCACTACATATGTATGAAAGTGGTGTGGCTTCCAGGCTGCAAAATCCTGGTCTTCTACTTAGAGGACATCAGAGCCAACCTGCTCCCTCAGGCCCTGTGCCCTGCACAACCTAAAGACTAGCCAGCCTTGGAAGGGAGTTCAGGAAGACATGCTGTGTTCAGCTGGCCTGCTTGATTTCTTGGTGAGCTGTGTTAGGTCCTTGGCTAGACCTAAGAGTTTAATTTTGGGAGAAGGGAAAGAAATGGAATTATTTCAGATTATTACATGTTAGATTAATTCTTATGTGAACCATTTTCTCCTTAGTTGTAAATTTTGATTTCTCAAGTTCCTTTGGTTGGTTGAATGGTTGGCTGGTTGTGGTCTTTGCTCACTAACAGATACCCTGCTGTCTTCTTCCAGTTTTGTTTGGCTATGCCACCACAGTCATCCCCAGGGTATATACGTACTACGTTTCAACTGCGTTATTTGCCATTTTTGGCATTAGAATGCTTCGGGAAGGCTTAAAGATGAGCCCTGATGAGGGTCAAGAGGAACTGGAAGAAGTTCAGGCAGAATTAAAGAAGAAAGACGAAGAAGTAAGTCCTAACACTGGTAAATATCTGGGCTTAACAGGCTCTCAACTGGGAATAAACACCAGTGAGAGCTTTTCCAGAGGCCATTGACGTGTGTGCACTGCACAAAAATAGCTTATTTTACTCAGTGTCTGTCCTTATGGCTGGCCACAGTGTGACCACGGGTCAGTGTGAATGTGGTAGAGAAAGGAGGCTCGGAGAGGGGCACTGAGTACAGGCAGGCAGACTGAACACACGGACTGTACTGTGGGATTTTACCTGTTTCTTCCATAGCATCTGGGACAGCCTGCTTTGCTGGGGAGGAATGGGAGAACCAAGAATATAACATTTATTGCTTTGTGAGATCATTGGTTCAGAGAGGACATTTGGGTGAGGGGGAGTCACATAAATTTACTTTTTTGGACCATATTCCATAGAACTTAAACATTTTTAAAAAGAAATATTAAATGATTTTGTGCTATTTTGACTTTTTTCCTGGGATTATCATTTTTTTTTTTTTTATTTATTTTAGTTTCAACGAAGCAAACTCTTAAATGGACCGGGAGATGTTGAAACGGGTACAAGCACGACAATACCTCAGAAGAAGTGGCTACATTTTATTTCACCCATTTTTGTTCAAGCACTTACATTAACATTCTTAGCAGAGTGGGGCGACCGCTCTCAACTGACAACAATCGTGTTGGCAGCTAGAGAGGTGAGTGATACTTGAGAGACAACGCCTTTTGTAGTGAAAATTAAATACAGTGAATGTCACTTTGCTTCAGAGAACACTGACAGTCAGGGTGGGCCATTTCCTGTGCTGGACGGCTTGTTCTGCATCTGATGATCCTGCCCCCTCTAAACTTGACCTCCCAGTTTCTACCACCAGTCAGATGGAAGTCTCATAGCCAAACTTCATTGGTCTTCTTCTCACTCATCTTGCTGACTCCTGTTTGTCTGGGTTCTGCCAAAAAGATACTGGAGCAGTTGTTTTCTTTCTTACCTCACAACTTTCCTTTGTACAGATGTTGAGAATATAAATCAGTGTAAAATTATCAAAGGCCAATTTGGCACTAAGTATCCAACGCCTTGAAAGTGTGTAACTTAGTTTTTCTGCTGTACTAAAGAAATAATTGAGTGTTGAACAGGCCACTCACAAAATTATTGCAACTTAGTGGAAGTGTAAAAATAGCCTGTTTAGCAGGAGAGTATTGGTTCACTTTTTAACAAATTTCTGTGTAGCTCTTGGAATGTTTACTCTTCAAAATCATTTTTTTTTTTTTT